GGGGGAGGGGAATGTTGGGTAACTGGGGGAGGGTCGCTGGGGTAGGGTGGTTGGTTGACTGGGGAAGGGGGGAATGTTGGGTCACTGGGGAAGAGAGAGAGGTTGGGTCACTTTGGGGGTTGGTGCAAATGTTAGGTCACAAGGGGAGGGGGGAAGGTTAGGTTGCTGAGGGAGGGGGGAGTTGGGTCATTGGGGGAGGTGGGGGTTGGGTGTTGAGTTGGTTTGGGTGGTTCTAGGATTTGGATCTGGCTATGAGGAATGTAGCTTGGGTTACTCAGGAGTTAGATTACATATTTAATAATGTAAATCTAACAGTTTATTTAATTTCATTGGAACTCTCTGAATTCCCCAATTTAAATGGAAACTTTTGGGTGTTCTGGGTGCAGGAGAATTGTCTAGTGGAATCTACAATTTCCCATGCAATTCCTTCGGAATCTGCTGTGATGGAGATTCCACTGAGTCGCCATGTGCAACTCCCATCTACACTGGAAGAGTGGCTGTCTGGCCATACGATAATCCAGACCATTGTGTGTAGCTTTGATTTTCCCGTTTAAGAAATAGTAGGCTTGAATCGGACGCAGTACGGTAAGTGATCACTGAATTTGTCGCTGAAATGTGGGATGGTGAGACATGAATAAACTGGTTCTATGACAAATTCGATCGGTGTTTGATCATGTTCTGTTGAGTGCTCAGGGACTTTACTAGTCCACCTGGTCCCATGACAGAGAATGCTCTGACCATGTGACTGGGAACGTCAATCCGAAATCTAGCTGTGTCCGGTACAACAGTGTATTCATGCTGTTAGTATAAACGATGGAAAAAACCAGGCATGACAAAGCTTCGAGTTCCTGATTGGAGCTCAAGCAACACAAAAATTGACTCCCAACCCGACACTACCCCGAAACAACCTTCATTCTGCCTCTAAATGACCCCTGGTTTACTGCTGAACAACACCTAGATTCTAGCTAAATGGCCGCTAATTTACTCTTAAGAGACCTCTACTTGCCTCCTGATAATCCTTAGCTACCACACAAAGACTTCCATCCAGCAACAGGGAAATGACCTTTTTCTAAACCTTCCTAAATTTCACCATTGTACCAGTGAGTGGATAGGTTGCTCCTCTGGAGATCTGGAGGGCCAAAAGGCATGATCCAATTATGGGGTGTGGGCGGATGTTGGCAGCTCAGATGCCCACTGGAATGCCAACTGTGCCATTTAAGTAATAAATCAGTTTAGGATCCACTTACACCTCATGTCACGAGAACCAGGCACTCCATGGGGAGACCACAAGAGGGCACAGCAGGTACCTCCCCCCGTGCCATTAACAGAAAGGGGTATTTTCCTGGTGTTGCTCATTCCACCCATCAGCTTGCTACATTTCAGTGAACTTGACACTTCCTTTGCCTTTCATTTACAGGTTCATTTATAATTTATAGGTTGAATTTCTCAGCATCAGACTCTTCGTGGCATTTGGCAAATTTACCAAGTCTCAGAGGGAGCTGTCACCTCGAGAAGCAGGAGACTTACTTTTAATTTTCTGCTCCTCATTCTTGGAACTAGACGTCACCAAATACCTGCTGTGCTCCTTGGACCACTGCTTTGTGCCTTTGGCAGCTGATGTACTTCTTAACTAAAACAGTGATCTCCTCCTAACAGCTCCACTCACCCTCTCCCTTTCACTGCTGGCCCCCCGTTAGAGTGTGGAATATTTCTACTGTTTGGGACTGTTGACTGTGGACTCACTCCCCTGAGTCCCAATCATGGTCTCATCCTTTTCTCTCAGCTTCAGTCCCTTTGGTTCACTCCATTTTGCTCCTAACTCTACTTCTCTGATCCCCACCCCACAGCACTGCCTCCTGCTCAACAAAAACCTCATTGGTCTGCACCTCCAGCTCACTCTTCTGCATTGTTCCCTCCCCAACCACTGCACCCTAAGGACTACGAAGGTTCAAGAAATATAGGATGTACGGTTAGTAAGTTTGCAGATGGCACCAAAATTGCAGGTGTAGTGGACAGTGGAGAAGGTGACCTCAGAGTACAATGGGATCTTGATCAGATGGGCCAATGGGCCAAGGGTTGGCAGATGGAATTTAATTTAGATAAACGCAAGGTGCTGCATTCTGGTAGGGCAAATCAGGGTGGGACTTATAAACTTAACGGAGAGGTCTGGGGAGTGTTGCCAAGCAAAGAGATCTTGGATTGCAGGTTCATAGTTCCTTGAAAATGGAGTCAAAGGTAGACAGGGTAGTGAAGAAAGCATTTGGTATGCTTGCCTTTATTGGTCAGTGCATTGAGTATAGGTGTTGGGAGGTCAAGTTGGAGCTGTACAGGATATAGATTAGGCCACTTTTGGAATACTGCATTTAGATCTAGCCTCCCTGCTATGGGAAGGATGCTGTGAAACTTGAAAGGGTTCACAAAAGGCTTAAAAAGATGTTGTCAAGGTTGGAGGGTTTTGAGGTATGGGGAATGGCTGAATAGGCTGGGGCTATTTTTCTTGGAGCATCAGAGTCTGAGAGGTGACCTTATAGAAGTTTATAAAATCATGAGGGGCATGGATGGGGTGAATAGCCAAGGTCTTTTCCTCAGGGTAGCGGAGTCCAAAACTAGAGGGCATAGGTTTAAGGTGAGAGGGGAAAGATTTAAAAGGGACCTAAGGATCAATCTTTTCACCCAGAGGATGGTGCATGTATGGAATGAGCTGCCAGAGGAAGTGATGGAGGCTGGTACAATTATAACATTTAAAAGGCATCTGAATGGGTATATGAATAGGAAGTGTTTAGATGGATATGGGCCAAATGCTGGCAAATGGGACTAGATTAATTGAGGATATTTGGTCAGCATGGACGAGTTGGACCAAAGGGTCTGTTTCTGTGCTGAACATCTCAATGACTCTATGACTCTGAGGTAGCTCAGTACCTTCTCAAAGCTGTTAGGACTAAACAATAAATGCTGTCCTAGTCAGAGATGCCTACATCCCACGAATGAATCGAAAACAACTGTAGACATTCACTGCCCCTTTGTTTGGTTTTGTGAAATAAGCTTGGGTCATGTCTGCACTGGCATCACATCCTATCACCTCCCTAAAATATCACAGAGCTCTTCCTACCCAATAAGTTGTTGTGAAGTTTGGAGTCACATATAAAGAATGACCCTTGTATACGAGACTGGAGAGCAGCAGGCCATTGGCAGCAAGGACTGATGGTTTCATAAGGAATAGGGACAACGTGAGGATTCATTTTAGAAGTGGAATATCCAATGTTTCTGCAACGTTCTTGTTCCTGTTTTAATACAGGACTAACTACGCTCTGAGAAGACTCACACAAGCCTACTCTACATTTATCAGCTGATATTGCAGCTATTTCTTGATGAGTGTAAAGCCAAATTATTATCTCCAGCACATCAAGATATTGATGAAATAAAAATACTAAATCATACAAATTATTCTTCGTTTAACACTGAAGAGGTGATTTTCTGACTGTTGACATCTTGGTGGTGTGCTGTGCTCAGCAACCATACATATTAATGAAGATAGGTGCTTTTATTTGGTCCAATTTTATGATGCTTGTGATAAGCAAGATTACCACCAATAATGAGCACTTGGGTAATTGGCCCTTGAACTGAAATATTCAGATTATCCTTAGCACAAAAATCCAACTGTCCTTTCACCTCAATATTCTCAGGCGATGGTTGAATCAGCTTGGTCGCTGTTGGCAGCTTGGACTTGGGAGTTGTAACAGGACACCATGGAGAGCTGTGTGCCTTCTTTTGTGGCGTGACTCTCCATGGAAGGGGGACAGTACCTTGAATCAGCTGAGAGGTACCACTGAGTGCACCATCGCCGCCATTTTCGGCCTAGCTCCATTTGTACCTGAACAAACACATGCAAACACATTTAGTGGAAACTCTAAAGCATTGTTGAGCTGCTGCATCTCTCAATTACTAACTCATTGTAACATGCAATAATGTCAATCTATCCAGAACCCTAACGAAGGGATTCAATTGCCCAAATTTTAAAGTCCGAGCCCAGGGGAACATATGTTTGATCTGTAGTGACGCTATGGGGCTGATCTTTAACGAAGAGTGGGGGAGGTGGATGGGCTACAGTTGTCTCATCCACAATAGTATGGCTCTGGTTCGCTCTGCTTGTGACCAGGTTCAAGTCAGTTCAAATGAGACTTAAATTTTGATTCAGAGCATATTGTGAAACAAAGCATGCGATTTATATATACTTTAATATCATTTACTTTAGAGTTTGGATTTTGAACAAGTGGCATGGAGATTTGGGTCTGTGTGTATGAGAGAGAGACTTCCTGGAGTGGGAATGGGAATTTGTTGTACTAGGAGAGTTTTACAAGTGGACAGGGTTAACTTGGAAGAGCATTAGCTTGCTTTCAGTTAGAGGGATCTGGTATTCATTTTGTTTTTGCTTAGGGGAAACACTCATATCTGGGAAAGCTTTTGGTTTCAGTCCGCAGATGTCCTGGTTGAAGATATAAGTATGAATCTTCCTCCTAGAGAAAGGAGTTAGTTTAGATAAGTTTAGAAATAGATTACCTGAGTGCAAGGGTTTTAGTTTGAAAGGTCCAGATCAGAAGTACTGGCTAAAACCCTGAAGGGTTACTCAAAACTGAGAAAGACTCAGCTCAGTTCTATGAATACTCAAGGAAGAAACTCTCAAAACTGGGAATAAGTTAAGTCAAACCTATAGATGTGATTAAAAAAGGAAATTCTCTCTGGCATCTGAGTACTGTAAAGGAATGCTGTTGAGGTGGATGGGATATTGAATTTTTACTGTGAGTTTTGACATCTTTCAAATTGCTTTATAAATAGCTTGGCTTATTCAATCATGTGAACTTTTCTTTTGCGTGGTACTTCGGATTTATTGTTGAAACCAGATCTGCAGCATTGTGTGTGTGTTTCAGAGAAAGATCATTTGGTTAAGCAATAAAAAATATGATCAACATGGGTTTCATTGACATCTGCCTTTGTTTAATAAGAATCGCAGCTGAGATCATAACAAAACGTTGTGAACGAAATTTACTTCTAATGTAATGGAATGCCAATCTCCAAGTAGCTAACCTGGGGTGTTAAAGAGGGAGGTGACATGGAAATGCTTTCAGTAAAATATACCGTAGGCATCCATAGTTGAGCAGGAAGAGTGCTTGCCTTTAAAACTGAAATAGTTTGCTGTAAAAACAATGTACTGCAAGAAGCTAATGTGAGCATAATTCTCATTATTGTAACATTGAAACACATTGAGAAAGGCATACAACCGAGCTCTGAGAGTAAAGAACTCTTCTGGAAACATTTTGCATATGATTCTCCCGAAATATTAAGCAGAAGCTACCGTTACCTTTATAAGAATAGCTGAGGTCTTTTCCCCGGGGTGGGGGAGTCCAAAACTAGAGGGCATAGGGTTAAGGTGAGGGGGAAAAGATTTAAAAGAGACCTGAGGGACAACTTTTTCCACAGAGGGTGGTGTGATCTGCCAGAGGAGCTCGTAGAGGCGAGTAAAATTACAGCATTTCAAGGACATTTGGACAGGTACGTGGGTAGGAGAGGCTTTGAGGGACATAGGCCAAACGAGCCAGGCCAAAGGGTTTGTTTCCATGCTATATACCTCCATGATTCAATGATTACAAAATTAATCTGCACAACAGCCTGAGTCAGGCTCAGGGGGAATAAGGATGGCAAAATAGGTGAGGAAGTAATTAATCAGTAACCGAGGCTTCAGTGAAATCATGTGAGAATTCAAGTGGAAGATGTAGGAAGATGATGAACAGAAAAAAAGACAAAATTATAAGCTTTATCTTTGCAAATTTGATCAATAGATACTGTTTTCTTAAAGAACACGTGCTTTTTTTATAATAAGTTTGCAAATCTCAAGGCATAATGTGCTTTGCCAATAATTATTTTTTGCCCTTGAAACACACAAATGATTTCATTTTTTTTTTCCTGGAGTAGTCTTGTGATGTGCTTCAATGTATTATTAGTACAACTTTGGTTGCTTTTGTTGATGAACTCGTAGATAATTATTACGTGTGTCTGGCCTGTTTTGCTCTAGAGCCCCAAGTTGAATATCTCAGGTGATCTGAAACAGGTTTGGTAAATATCAGTGTAACCCCAAAAGGCCCAGAATCCTGAGGTCCCCCCTATTGAGTGTTCATTGACCAGGGTATCCAAACTCTGATTCAAACCACCCAGGAACTTCAGTTATACCAACATTCCCTCTGGTGATTCATGTGAAATTTGGCTTGAATGGAATGAAGCTTTGAGATTCCACATAATGGGGAAGTCATCCAGTTTCCAACTCACTCTCTGCTTCAGATTATAGTTTTGCTACTTTTCTTCACTGGTCATGCGGTTTGAATTTTCAGGGCTTGAAGGATTGGCAGCAGTTTTGCTCGGTGTTACTTCCCTTCTGGTTGCAAACTGCTGAATTCCTAGATTTGGCAATGTGTACAACTTAAAATATTGGAAGAGAATTGGAAAAAAAACTGACTTGAATTTTGCAAAGTTGACAATCCTGAGACCATTCCCTGGGGAAATGTTCGCCTTCTGGGGCAAAGGTCAGGAAAAAGGAAGTAGAGGCCTGGGTTTCCATGCACTGTGTTTTAGCCCAGGGTTTCTGTGGAGATGAGATTAAGGCCTCCTTCTCCTCTGGTTGCCATGGAAGGGTTCCAGAAGCGGGGGCATTCAAAGAAGCTGGTGGTGGGTCATACTTTTCGGTGATTGGGAGGATTCTAGAGGGCTGACAGCCAAGTTAAGGAAGCCTGAACAGTTCAATTTTTGTTCTCAAGGCCTTTGCTGCAACCGTGCAGGCAGCCCTACTGCATGTGGGCCAGCACTGTAGCCCAATTGCTAGTGAAATGTCCTGCCAGGGTGGGTAAGTGGGAAAACTGCACCTCACCCCCCAACCCACCAGCCTCGTGGTACACTCCTGAGGCAGCTATGAAAACAGGCAGCATAGACATTCTTGCTGTAAAATAACAGACAGACTTCAAACCTACATGGGCCTAACCCCCAAACAAAACAACAACATAAACTTGCATAGCAACATCAAAGTAATAAAATGGCACAAGATGCATCAAAGAAGCAGTATGAAAGAAATGGATTAGTGGGTTGGCCATGCCAAATTACCCTGCAGTGTCCAAGAATGTGCAGGCTAGGTGGATTAACCATGGAAAATACAGTGTTATGGGGATAGGTGGGGGACTGGGCCTGGGTGGGATGCTGTACAGAGGATCAGTACAGACTCCATGGGCCAAATGGCCCCTTTCCGCACTGTAGGATTCTATGAAATATGACATTGAACCACGTGAGTATCTTAAAAGAGGAAAGTGAGGTACAGAGGCTTGGAGGGCCGAAGGGCCTGTTCCTGTGCTGTAACTTTCTTTGCTCTTTGTTCTTTGTTCTTTGAAAGGTATAAGGAGCATACTGCAGAGCTGGTACCTAGGCAACTGAAGGCAGTGCAACCAATGGTGGGGAAATTAAAACTCAAGTTAGCTTTGCAATAAAAGATGGGAGAATACGATAGAATCTGGTACAAACAAGAAGTCTCAAGCTATATCTGGAATTCATGTGCTACCATGTACAGCATGTCACCTTGGAGAGCACTCAACAAGCAAGATCCCCTGATAGTCTGCTGCAATATCACTTCCTGAACAGTGGGACACAGTCATAATCAATAGAGTACTAACATTGATGGGCTATCGTGTTGTAGGTCTTACCTCTCCATTCAAAAAACAGTAGAGGATTGCAACAATGAAACCCTGGGAACAGAGAACATAGTATCACACTCTTAGCACTATCTAGTTAAATATTTAGACATTAATATTTAGTTAAATATTTAGACATTAAACCAATGTCATAAAATACACTGGAAGTGGAATTCCAGGCAGACCAGTACCCGATAATTACTCTGAAGAACATGAATTAGATATTAACCTTCAAACATTCATTTTGAACAAAGCCCCAAATTTCTGATTTGGCGTGAGGACCTCTGCACTGGATACACTAAAGTTGAATGTTTATCCTATAGATTAACAGATTAGGCCCTGGTGTGCCCTACATTAATCAAAATTATAACTAAGTATAATGACTGACAGACATAGTCTCTCTCCACACAAATTCTTAAATCCTGCATGAAGCTCCAGTTGATATCTGTCTAAGATGATATGTGGCACATATAAAACATGACTGTGGATTGAATAATGTTTGAACTAATATCCTCCCGAGGATTGATCAGCATTTACACTAATATCCCTCTGGGGGTCGGTTAGCACTTTTTTTCAATCATTCACGGAATGAGGGCATCACTGGCCAGGCCAGCATTTATTACCCATCCCTAATTGCACAAAGGGCAGTTAAGAGTCAACCACATTGCTGTAGGTCTGGAGTCACATGTAGATCAGACCAGGTAAAGATGGCAGTTTCCTTCCCTAAAGGACATTAGTGAACCAGACGAGCTTTTCCTGACAATCAACTCATTGTTATCATTACACTCTTATTCCAGATTTTTATTGAATTCAAATTCCACCATCTGCCATGGTGGGATTTGAACCCAGAGCCCCAGAATGTTACCTGGGTCTCTGGATTAATAATCCCGTGATAATACCACTTAATACCATTAGGCCATCACCATAATTTGCATTAATATCCTATGTGAGTTTGATTCATGTTTATGCACACTTCTGGTGCTGCCCTGCTCAATTAATATTGGAAACCAACCTGCCAATATAAAGATTGTTGAAACCAGTTTCATTCTAGAATCCCTGCAGTCTGCTCAAAACTGGTTAAAGTAGCAATCTATTATTAACACTGAATGGTGTGGATAATAGAAGTACAAACTAACAACAGAAGGAGTTGTATACACCCATTATAACTGGCACCATCTGTGTAGAGGGTAACAGAGTTCTGACAAAAGGTCAGAGATAGTAAAAATAAAAGGTCATAGCCTGGAACATTAACTCAGTCTCTCTTCCCCAGATGCTGCCAAACCTGTGAAATATTTTCATCATTACCTGCCTTTATTTGAAGTAGCAGACTGTGGGATGTTAGCAGATTCCTTAGGTTGATTTTAACAGCTCCTCTGCCCAGTTTCTAGTTGGTTAATGCCTGATAGACCCAGACTGAGACCACTGAACTTACTTCAATCACTTTGTAATCACTCACAGCAGCTCTAAAAGGCAACGTTCTATTTTGGCCATTTAATTCAATTGCTGATTTTGAGAATAAGATTGGTTGAGTTGTGTTAATAGCAGCGAGTGAATATGAGCAACAAATGGTTGACGAACAGATCAGTCATGATCTAACTGAATAGCGCAACCGTTTACTCCTGCTCTTATATGCTTAGTCAGTTTTAACTGAACTTACATTTATAATTCCTTCCAATTCACATGTCTCTTAAAAGACCAGGTGTCATTCAAGAATGTCAGATCACCTACCTGGAAGGATCCCAGAACAAGGTCAAACACCAACCGGAAGTAGACATTCAGATGGTCAGGAACAAAGACAAAGATAACGTAGTTTACCCCAAACAGTGGGATGAGCAGTAAAGTGGACTTTGCCAGTCTCCTTTTAATAAAAGACATCAAACAATTAATAGCAAATAATTTTGGATCTTATATTCTCGGAGGGAACTATTTGATATCATTTATTTACAGGTTCTTCAGCCCATGGAACTAGGTTAAACGGGAAGGAATCATCTGCAGTCAGAGATGAGTTTCCTTTTGCTTAGTTCAAAATACTTGTGATTTAAAATGAAACTAGGATAATCCGGCGAAAGCTGCAGATTTGGATCTCCTTTCCACTTTTATTACCCGTAGAAGGGGCTATCTGGGTCCTGATGAAGTTCCACTTATTTTAATTGAGGTCAGCTTGGGATCTGATCCAGCAGGAATGAATCCTGGGAAAGTATCTACCAGTGGGCAGCATGATGGCTCAACGGTTTGCACTGCTGCCTCACAGAACCAAAGAGCCTGGGTTTGTTTCCAGTCTCGGGCAGCTGTGTGTGTGGAGTTTGCACATTCTCCTGTGTCTGTGTGGTTTTCCTCCGGGTGCTCTGGTTGCCTTCTACAGTCCAAGGATGTGCAGGCTAGGTGGATTGGCCAATAGTTCATAATGTTAGGATTAGCCATGGTAAATGCAGGGTTACAGGGTGGGGGATGTGGGGGTGGGTGGGATGCTCTTCAGAGGCTCAATGTGCACCTGATAGGCTGAATGTGCTGTTTTCACACTGTGGGGGTTCTATTAGATGGATTCCTTCGTGCTTTAGCACCAGTGAGTCATCCTGAGTTTGGGGATGTCTGGCTCCAAGATTAGTGTCAAAGCTTTCATTCTAATGTGTAAATGCATGTAACAAACTGAATGTGTTGAAAATATATAACTTGCCCAAACACTCAGAGAGAGGCTGCAGAGCTCTGAGGTGCACTGGGATCTGGATGTCCTAGAATATGAGTCACATAAAGTTTGTATTCAGGTACAGCAAGTGATTTGGAAGGAAAACAGAGTACTGCTGTTTATTGCAAAGGGAATAAAATCTTCAATGTTTTGCTACAAATGTTTGTATAGAACAATGATGAGGCCAAACCTGGATTCCTGTTTACAGTTTGGGTTGCCTTATTTTAGAAATAACATAAATGCATCAAAGCATTTCACAGGAGGTTTAGTCAACAGATTCCTGGGATGCTGAAGTTATCTACTGGGGACAGATTGGATAGGCTGTGTCTGATTCCATTGGAGTTGAAAAGAATGGGAGGTGATTTTATTAAAACTTGTTTTTATTCATTCACAGGATGTGGGTGTTGCTGGCTAAATCAGCATTTATTGCTCATCCCTAATTGCCTAGAGGGTAGTTCAGAGTCAACCACATTGCTGTGGGTCTGAAGTCACAGGTAGGCCAGACCAGGTAAGGATGGCAGATTTCCTTCCCCGAAGGACATCTGTGACCAGATTTTTCCAACGGTTGACAACAGTTTCATGGTCACCATTAGGCTCTTAATTACCAGATTTTTATTGAATTCAAATTCCATATCAGGCTCTGAGAGGATTTGACACAGTTTAATGCTGAAAGAATGTTCCCCCTTGTTTGGGGAGTGTAAAACTGGTGGACACAGTTTTAAAGTAAGGGGTCTCTGAACTAAGATGGAGATGAGTAGAAAATGTTTCCTCAGAGTGAGGAGAGTCTTTGGAACTCACTTCCCTTGAGGCCGATAGAGGCTGAATGAATGACAAGAGAGGCAATGTATCCTAGAGATTGTTGTAAGAGTTCACCTTTTAGGATTCTATGTGCTATGTGTTTATAATATTGTCGCTCGATATGCCGTGTCTCACAGAGATTCAGCCTGAAAGCTGCACACACAGACATCAACCGAAAGCACTGTGGATGATATAAATCAGAAACAAAAACAGAAATTGCTGGAAAAGCTCAGCAGATCAGGCAGCATCTGTGGAGAGAAATCAGAGTTAACATTTCAGGCCAAGTGGCTCTTCCTTAGAACTGATGGTACCCAGGCAAATGTCAGTTTACATGCAAAAGACAGGGTGGGGGTGGGAGGGGGTAATGAGTAAATGATAGATGGGTATAGACCCCAAAAAAGAGAGAAGAACAGTTGGACAGACAAAGGATTGGATAACGATCTGGCTCAGAGGGTGAATAGCTATTAATTGGGACTGTTAGTGACTAACAATGAATTGTGTAACAGCAGACAATGTGCTAACAAGGCCTGGTGTGTGGGGGTTGGAGCAAGGACATGGGAGAGCTCAAGCCCTAAAGCTGTTGAACTTGATATTGAGTCCAGAAGGCTGCAGGGTCACCAAGTGGAAAATGAGGTGCTGTTCTTCCAGCTTGAGCTGAGCTTTGCTGGAGCACACACACACTAACATCAGTTGGCTCACTGTAATGCCTAATTCGTGACTTATTCTGTGTTTTATTGTTTTAAATAAACTAACCTTTACCGTCACTTGCCTACGGGAGGCTAGAGGAATCACGTCTGCCTGGGGACATGAGGTTGTGAATTGAGACCGAGGCTCACTCACCTTCCGGGAGCAGGACAAACACTGGAGAGAAGCCTGTCCTGGGCCCCTCAGCTGAGTTTGGGAGAAATGTGAAAGTGACATTGAAGGGAAATGTGTTGATTGCTTGTTGAGCAGCTGCTTTCAGGGACTATGTTTCAACCTCAAGTAACTTCCAACTCAAATCTTTAAGCCAGCACAGGGAAAATCAAAACTTACCAGCGCAGCAGAGGGAGTTCGTTTGACAGTAAGGCCCTAAAATTTATACTTTTTACAAATCTACAGCTTAGAATTAATGGTACAAGAAACTTTTTTGTACTTGGCTTAAATTTTAACTTGATTTAACTTGATCAGCGTAGAGGAGTTCTGTCCCATATGTTGTACCCCCCGCAGTATGTAGAAAGTTTTGGACACTCCTATCACTCTGGGAGGCCTCATGTACAGGAAACGCTGCTGGTTTGACCATCTTTAGCATCAGTTAAAGGTGGTGCAGTGCCTCCTTGAGGCTGAGAGAGAAATGGAAAACATGTTTTAGACATGGTCACTCTACAGCTTTAGGAAGCGTGGTCAGAGAGGGAATGGATGACCATTGGTCAGAAGGAGGGAGGCAGGCAGTAATCAGGAAAACCCCAGAATGTTTCTCACTCAAGAACAGATTTTCTGTGTTGGTAAATGGTGAGAGTGATGTTCTTCTGGGGAGTGCAGCCTGAATCCAGTGGCATAAGCTAGGAGGAGAAAGTGAGGAAAAGCAATAGTGATGAGAGATGTCAATAGTCAGGGATACAGACAGGTTTTTCTGCAGCCACGGATGAGCCATTGGGATAGTGCATTGCATTCTGAATGGAGAGGGCAAACAGGCAGAGATTGTGGCTCACGTTGGTACCAAAAATATCGGTAGAAAGAGATATGAGGTCCTGCAACAAGAATTTAGACAGCTAGGTAGCAGATTGAAAAGCAGGATCTCAAAAACATTGTAATTTTTGGATTACTCCCAGTGCCACTTGCTGGTGAGTATAGGAATAGATGGATAGAACAGATGAATGTGTGGCTGAAGAGTTGGAGCAGGAGAGAAGGCTTTACTTTCCTGAATCACTGGGTCTGTTTGTGGGGATAGTGGGATCTGTCCAAGTCCAACAGATTGCACTTGAACTGGAACGGGACCATCATCCTTGTGGGGAATTTTGAGTTCAAGTGTCAGGATGTCACGTTGCAGCTTTATAAGACTTTGGTTTGGCCACACTTTAGAGTGTTGTGTTCGATACTGGTCGCCACATTACAGGAAGGATGTGGAGACTTTGGAGAGGGTGCAGAAGAGGTTTACCACAATGCTGCCTGGATTAAAGGGTATGAGCTGTAAGGAGAGGTTAGAAAAACTCTGGTTGTTTTCTCTGGAGTGGCGGAGGCTGAGGGGAGACTTGACTGAAGTCTATAAAATTATGAGATGCATAGATGGGGTTGACAGTCAGAAGTTCTGAGGAAGGGTCACTGGATCCGAAATGTTAACTGTGTTTTTCCTTCACAGATGCTGCCAGACCTGCTGGGCTTTTCCAGCAACTTTGTTTTTGTTCCTGATTTACAGCAGCCGCTTTTGGTTTTTATTTTGACAGTCAGAATCTTTTTCCCAGAGTTAAAATGTTCTGTAGGTGGTATGAATAAACCAGGAAACTACAGGCCAGTGAGTCTAATATCTGTATGGAGGAACCTTGGAAAAAATTCTGAGAGACAGTGTTAATCTCCATTTAGAGAGGCAAGGATTAATCAGGAATGGTCAGCATGGCTTGTCAGAGGGAGATTATGTCTAACAAATTTGATTGATTATTCGAGGTGGGTGATTATGTGTGTGGATGAGAGTTGTGCAATTGGTGTATTCTACATGTTAGCCTTTTGACATGTGTTGTATGGGAGTCTGGCCAAGAAGGGAAGAGCCCATGGAATCCAGGGCAATTTCACAAATTTGATCCAAAAATTGTTTCAGTGACAGGAGGCGGAGGATGATGGTTGAAGGGTGTTTTTGTGAGTGGAAGCCTGTGTCCTGTGTCAAGTTTCCAGTTTGCCCCAGGGGTTAGTCCTGGATCCCTTGCTGTTTGTAGACAAGAATTTCAGAGGTTTGGCCAGTAACTTCACAGCTGACATGAAAATTGGTGGTGTAGGACATAGTGAGGAAGAAACACAGGTTATAGGATGATATTGATGGACTGGTCAGAGGGGCTGAACAGTGGCAAGTGGAATTTAATCCTGAAAACTGTGAAGTAATGCATTTTGAGAGTACACAATGAATGGTAGGATCCCAGGAAGTGCAAAGTATCAGAGGGACCTTTGCGTGCATGTCCACAGACCCTTGAAGGCAGCAGGACAGGTGGATATGATGGTTAAGAAGGCATTTGGAATCTTTGCCTTTATCAGTCATTCCATAGATAATAAGAGCAGGGAGATTATGATGGAGCTGTACATAAATTAGTTAGGCTACAGCTGGAGTACTGTGTGCAGTTCTGCATGCCACACTATAGGGAGAACGTGATTGCTCTAGAGAGGGTGCAGAAGAAGTTCATTAGGGTGTTGCTTGAGCTGAAGCTATTCCACTAAGAAGAGTGACACTAGATAGGCTGTGCTGTTTTCCTCAGAGCACAGAAAGTTGAAGGGGGACCTAATTCAGTTGCACAAAATTATGAGGGGCATGGATTAGATAGATAGGGGGAAATATTTAAAACATAGAACATAGAACAGTACAGGCACTTCGGCCCATGATGTTGTGCCAAACTTTTTTATCCTAAACCTAAGGTCTATCTAAACTCCACCCCTACCTTATACTATCATCCATATGCCGATCTAATAGCCGCGTAAATGCCCCTAATGAGGCCGACTCCACTACCCTCTCTGGCAATGCATTCCACGCCCCGACCACTCTCTGACGTCTCCCCTATATCTACCTCCACTCACTTTAAAACTATGCCCCCTCGTAATAGCTACCTCCATCCTAGGAAAAAGTCTCTGGCTGTCTACTCTATCTATACCTCTGATCATTTCGTACACCTCTATCAAGTCACCTCTCATCCTTTGTCCTTCTAAAGAGAAAAGCCCTAGCTCTCTCAACCTTTTCTCGTAAGACTTTCCCTCCATTCCAGGCAACATCCTGGTAAATCTCCTCTGCACCTTTTCCAATGCTTCCACATCTTTCCTGTAATGAGGCAACCAGAACTGGACACAATACTCCAGATGTGGCCGAACTAGGGTTTTGTATAGCGGGAGCATAACTTCACGGCTCTTGAACTCAATCCCTCTATTAATGAAAGATAACACACCATACGCCTTCTTAACAACTCTATCTACCTGGGTGGCAGCTTTCAGAGAACTGTGGACGTGAACCCCAAGATCCCTCTGCTCCTCCACACTGCCAAGAATCTTTCTGTTAACCTTGTATTTTCCTCTTAGTAGAGGTATCAAAAACCGGTGGCATTGATTTAAGGCAAAAGGCTGATGGTTTAGAAGGGATTTAAGGATTTCTTTTCACTCAGGTGGTAGTTGTATCTGAAAGTCACTGCCTGAAAAGGTGGTAGAGGCAGGGACCACCATAACATTTAAGAAGTGTTTATATGGACACTTGAAATGTCATAGCATATAGGGCTATGGGCCAAGTGCTGAGAAACGGAACTGAAGTGGGTAGGTGCTGGATGACTAGTGTGGACATAATGGGCTGAAGGGTTTCTTTCTGTGCTGCAAATGTTACAACTATGACTCATGGAGTTAATTAATCCTTGGTAAGCGACTGATTATTAGACTATTGTGGTTAAATATGACAGGGATTCGCAGGAATGTGAATTTGAAGTTACAACCAGATCAGCCATGACCTTGTTGAATGGTACAGCAGGCCTGAAGGGCTGAATGGCCTACTCCTGCTCTTAATTTGTATATTGTTTTGTGTTAAAAATTTGAGGCCTTTTACGAGGCTGGAAGAAAGAATTCATTTTTAGAAACAATAGGCAGCAGAAAGTCAACGAAAGCAGCTCAAGCCGGGCTGAGACCAGGTTTTGTTTTATGTTGCGGTGTGGTCTTTGAGGGGACACTCTGTACTCACAGGTACTGCCTGTACTCGCTTCCTCTGTTGTCCGATGAATACACTTTCTGTATGAGGATCTGGATGATGGAGATGAACAGAATGAAGTTCACCTAAATGAAAAAGAGAAAGCCACATCTTACTGAGTTCAGCGCTTCTGGCCTGAGGTAACACATCTGTTAGTGTTTAACTGCAAAAGCAAATTGTTAAACTAACTGTAGTTTTGAAAATATCTCCAATTTTTATTTTGGAAAGGATCCTCGACACATTTAGGTTGAGCAAGAGGTTGGTTTGATGGCCACTGTGTAATGCCACATTTGCATACTTTGTGGTGAAATTGTGTTGAGTGACATTAGCATTCGGGCATGTTATAATTGTCCTTAGTCCATTCTGCTCATGGGCATGTTAACAAGTTTTAATTTAAAAGTGTTACGCCCCTCCTTTAAAAAGTAAATTAAAAATAAAATACTTCATACAAATTAAGAATTTGCTCTGATAGTTTACAATGTGATTTTAACCTCTACCCTGGGCTTGGGTAGTGAAGACTCTTCCAGCCAGGCTCCTGGACAAGATAACAAGCTTTTGCAAACAACAGCAAAATTCTACTTTCTCGATGTCAGTGGAAAATTTAAAGGCGGAGGGATGTTATACATTTGGTAAGTATGGCAGATTGTCACTTTAAGAGTCTGATCATGTGACATCATTATGATGCGATTGGCCATTTTGGATGGAATCAGTCTAACCTGAATACAGAATGAACACCTCCTTAATAAAGTTAAACTCTTCGGTCTCCCGGTCCTTCTTGAAATATAACAATATCAATTTACTCCATTCTCCTTTTCTGTTTCTCTAGCTTCCCCGAAATGTGTCTGTGTTATTCACCTCAACTACTCCATTTGCCATTCTAGCTACTCACTGCCTAAAGGGGTTTCTGCTGAGACCCCACTGAATCTATTTGTGATTCTCATATTTCCTTCATTCTGTTCTGCCCCACATGTGGAAACATACTCTCCATGTCTCTGCTCCCCCCCAAAGCCCCGAACTATATTGGGTCATTCCTTAGCCTTTTTTTCCAGAGAAAAGAGACCCAGCCTTTTCTGGTTTGTCTAACCTCGGTTCTGGGATCATGAATATACAGCCTTTGCAGTTTCTCCAAAGCCTCTGCATTGTTTTTGTCACGTGCACACAATGATGATTACAATACAACCACAGCTACGGCACGCTGAGGGGAAAATAAACGGCAGTCACTCACCCCATGTTTTCCTTTCCTCCGTTGACCTCCTAGTCTTAAGTACAAACCTTGGTATTAACTGTGCTTTAGTGATATGATTTGGAACCAAAAGTTGTGGGTTCAAGTACAACTCCAGGGAATTGAAGACAAAATCCAGGCTGATAATGCAATGCATACTGAGGGACAGTTACTCTGCTGGAGGCATACTTGTCAAAGGAGACTTTACACTCCTTCCGGTGATCATAAAAAGAGAACATATGGGGTGAGTTTGGAGTTGAGTTACGGGGGTTGTCTCTATTGTTTTAGCCAATATTTAACCATCAAGGAACACGTGTAGAACAGTTCATCTCGCTCTTACCATTTTGCTGTTTATGGGAGCTTGCTGTGCACAAGGTGCATGACACGTTTCCTCCATTACAACTGAGACTCGATTTCAAAAATAGTGGGTTGGTTATCTAAGTTGGCTGGACAGCTGGTTTGCAATGCAGAGTGATGCCAACAACATAGAATTAATACCCCACATTGGCTGACATTACCACGAAGGATTCTCCTTCTCAATCTCTCCGTTCACCTGAGGCATGGTGATCCTCAGGTTAAATCACCACCAGTCATCTCTCTCTCTCTAAAAAGTGAGCAGCCCAATGGCCTGGCAAGACAATGGTAACTTTACCTTAAACTTCAAAAATACTTCCTTGCTTGTTGGGGTATTGAGAGACCATAAAAGACTCTGCAGAAATATAGCTTTCTTTCCAATCTCTTGGGGTTAAGTTGAGGACAGCAGGGGGATAATCAGACAGGAATGATCTTTTGTCCATGTATCTTCCAGTCACTAATCACAAACTGACCTGGTATGTGGACATCAGGAGTTCTTGTTCTCCCTCTAAGATGGGGCTAATGTGAGATCCACAGAGACCAGTAACATGGACAACGGAGAAAATACCATCAAAACTGTCATGCAACTCTGACTGACAATGTCAATGTCGACACAAGTACACAGAGGAATACTCACCAGAATAGTCAGAGAAATCGGAGCCTTAATAATCCAAAAATATGGAGAGTCAATTGAATCCCAGCACCTAAAAGAGGTGTTAAAAAAACTTTGTTTTTGACTTTTGTAATATGAAAATAATCTTCTGTAACTTCCAGAATAGCTACGTGACCTACTTTCAGCAGAATGGTCAGTGTACAATGCATGTGGCAATGACCACAGGTAATTTAGAGAGTAGGATCAGTCCTGATCCTGAGATAGATTCTCACTGGTTGCTGGGGTTGGTGAGGAAGGTGGTGATGTTGGTGTTTTGTGTGCTTGTGTGTATTAATTTCAACCTCTCTAAACGTGCCATAACACACCTCAATGGCATGTGAGCTTTGAATCTGGGTCTTCTGGTCTAGAGACCAGGACATTACCACTATGCTGTAAGCAATCAACTCTCTTTTCTCACTGCCTCCATGAATGGTATGGCACCTGGTGAATCATTATACATAAATAAGAGATAACAGAATAGCATGGAGGGCCAGGGGAATGTGCTGAATCTGTAATGTGAGGTTTGTTTTCTGTAATCAACGTTAAGTGATCTTTAATTCCTATCTTGATTCCAAGGTTGTAACATGATTAATGTGGTGTAACTGCAATTGTTAAAAGAACTGAATGAACAGAAACCTGCACGAGAGTGCTCTAGATCAGGTTAATTACTAAACTGATAAGATTCAAGCTATTATTAAAGTAATAACAAATGATTCACATGGGCAGGTCGCTTGGAAACCAATAAGGTGGCAACTATGTAATTATTGTTTCATTAATTGTGTGAAGGCTGGGGAATGGTTCTATAAAATGATCTACAACAGAATGAGGCTGCCATCAGACAACTGTCAATCACTGGGACTCAATAAGGCAGGTTCAGCCTATCTGCAGCCCACCATGCCAGTTACAAGCAGGGGTAAAGGGAACTGTACCCTGACAGAATCATACTCAGCAACTCGACTCAGCCCCAATCATGCAAAGAGCATCCCACCCAGAACCAGCCCCCAACCCTGCACCTACCATGGCCAATCCACCTCACCTCACCCGCACATCTTTGGACTATGGGAGTAACCAGAGCAAACCCACACAGACATGGGGAGATGTGTATACTCTCATACAGTCACCCAAGGCTGGAATTAAACCCAGGTTCCTAGCACCGTGAGGCAGCAGTGCTAACCAGTGAGCCACCAGTAAGCTTGGGTTAAAGCAGTCTGATCAACTATTTAGAGAGCAGAAAGAACTGATCACTACCTTAGTGCTGACTCTTGGAGAAGCACAGGCAACCACAGGGATGTGTGCCAGCCAGTCTTGTAGAGTGTAAATTGATTTGAGTGCTGAGTAAAGGTGCTGTGCATGAACTATAATTTGTGAACCTCGAGTTGATTCCAGGAGTAAACTTTTGAACTAAAAAGGGGATATTAATTTACAAAATGTATTATTTTAGTATGTTACAGTGTGTGTGTTTGTGTATAGGGCTGGGTTTTTTTTGGGCAGGTGTGCAGTCAGGATTGGTCTCAGTTTTGAAAACCTCAGTGGCTAAGCACCTGACAACAGATAACATCCAGCATCCAGACTCACAGGAGGAGAACCACCTCTGAACTAAACCCTGGAGGGAAGCTGATGTCTGGAATTGGAACAAGTAAGAGTCAATTGGAAACAGGTATCTCTCACATTGCTCTAACTGATAGATGGGCCTGTTCTCTCTTACCCGATATTATCATAGTGCAGCATGGCAAGTGTCCAACTGACAGTGATCAGCAGTGGAGCACCTACAGAAACAGAAATACGGTTATCAACTGCATCACTGTGATTTTGCCCATGGTGAACATTACTTTTGCAATTGATCGGCAAGTCTACTATTTTAAAACTGAATCTGTTCTTTCATGGTGAAAGTGATTAAGGAAATTGGATTAAGAAATTGATAATAGGATCAAGGAAATGTTGGGGAGAGATGTCAAAGAGGAGTCTTGAGTTCTGTGTTCAGCAGTACCATTGAGCTCTTCACCACATGTGCGGGGGAGGCCAGAGACTGCTCTGAAGCTGTCCTTCATGTGGGGTCCAGTCACCCTCTTAAATACAGCACAGATCGGAAAGAGGTCAATGATGCTCTGATATTCTCCATGGGATACAGTATTTTTGTACATTTTGCATTACAATAACTATATGCAACATTGTCATTATTCCTTCCCCCTTAATGTATACATCTAATCCTGTGAAACACCTGATCAATGATGGATGCCTCTACGGACAGCCCTAGGTTCCCCACGATCTCATGATGTTTATCAGGCATCGTTACCATCAGGCCTTGGGATTCTAAACATTTACATTCCCAAGTTGTTGATCGTAAGAACTGCAGATGCTGGAGTCAGAGATAACACAGTAGGCCAGGCAGCATCAGAGGAGCAGGAAAGCTGACGTTTTGGGTCGGGACCCTTCTTCAGAAAA